ATACTTTAAGTTAAGATACGATCAATGCTGAATCACAATATTTTTAATAATGGTTGGCTATTTTTAAGAAAATTAATGTTAATACCTCTGCATTAAGGCTATAAAATATTGTTCAAGTACAAGATAAAGAATCGATTAAAATTTCTAATTTTCCTTCTCCTTAATATTGTAGGCATCCAATATTGAGTTTCGTTCTCACTTCTATCGATTTTTATATTTTATTTTATATTAATTCTTTAGTTTATTGCCTAATTCTGTCTTTGGTCCTCTCTAGATAATAATTAAGTCCGTTTACATAATTTCGTATACTTGTGTTTCTCATTTCAATCAGAAGACCAAAATAGCGATGAAGGCTGATGAGAAGAACATTCAAAACGGCGAATTCTGAGGAAATGGTTTGTGAGTTATGTCAAGAAAATAACCTTGTTATTATCAACACTTGCTTTAAATTGACTAAACGAATATACACGTGAAGGATGAAAAATATGATTATACGAATGCAACTCGATTATATTACAATAAATAACAGATTCGGAAACAGCATCCTAAGGGTTACAGCCTATCGTGGATTCGACATTAACTCCAAGCATAATCCAGTTGTAGTCACAATGAAAATAAAATTTAAAAAAATTACAAATAGCAGGAACAAAGAAAAAATATTAGGGACTAATATAGACCAGCAGCTACAGATAAGAGGACAAGCAAATGTACATGAAACCAAAAGAGAAACAAAAATATATATCAAGAATACATGAAGAAGTCTGAAAGAACCACTTGTAGAAGCAGAAAAAGACAAAATAGGGAGACAACATTCGATAAAAAGAAAGTTCTGAGTAACAGACAAAACCTTGAAATTTATGGAAAAAAGACACTATGAAAATAACAAAAATCGCCAAGGATTTCTAGACTTTGACAGGAAAAATGAGAAACGTATAAGGATAGCAACGAAACAATGCCTGAATGAAAGGTTAAAAGAGGTAAAACAACTTCAGCAAGACCACAATAACTGCATAAAAAAATAATAAAGGTTGTAGGTCTCCGGAAGCAAAAAAATGTCTCCATAATGGAAATCGAAAATAGTGATATTGTAATAGACCCTCAAAGGAAAAACAAATTTGAAAAAGATACGTTCTTGAATTATTTGAAGACGACAGACCAGATGACAGCAACCAATAAAAAAGGAGACAATCTTCCCATATTGACAGCAGAAGTTGTACGAGCTATAGAAGAAACAAGGCTCCTGGAGAATGCTCTGTAATAGTAGAATACTTTAAACACTTCAACGACACAGCAATTATTAAATTAACGTAATTCTTTAATTCTTCCCGCCTCCCAAAAAGACATAAGGCACAATATGTAAGGAACATAGAACGATAAGCCTGATGAGTTCTGCAGTTGACGCTGTTGACGAAAAGATAATAATTTTTTCGTCATGTTATGAGGATGCTTTCACTACGTTTTGGGGAGATCGTTTAAGAATGCAGAAATATCAGCCTTAATTACCTATTACCCTATTTCTATTCTATTCTTTAATAGAATAACAGTAAAAGTGTTAATACAGAGTTTAAAAAATTATGCATTTATAGTTCTTCTCGAATACAATACTACAAATATTTAAATTTATACCATTTATTTATTACCATATTAAATTATGTTTCTTAAAAACATGTTACTTTATAGCAGGTGATCTTCGAAACACTTGTCAAAAAGGTTTCCACTGAGACCCAGCCACCATATTGACACACTTCTTGATTATTGACCAATAAATAATGTACGATGGAATGCTGTTTGGTATGTTGAATGAGTATGACTCATTTATTTTTGGTAATACACACCCTGATATAAGATATATTTTGGGAATCTATTTCTGTTATGTTTTAAGTAATGAAATATAAAATATCTATTATTCTAAAGTTCTTTCACTGGATCTGGCGAATGTATTAGTGTGTGCAAAAATAATCATATTTGGTACTTTGTTGCGTATAATTTTGTATTTAATAATGGCTGAGATTAATTTATAGTCCAATTATACAAGAATTGTTAGTTTTACTGTATCGATAATATCAACAATAGCATCTACACTCTGTCATTTTAAGTAGAGCTTGCTGGCAAGGGAAAGGAGAGCTAAAGAACACCGTTCACATAGGTAATACACCATATTTATATTAGCATATTTGTTCCTGGCAACATTTTCCAACTTTAAACAGAGATAAAAATCTGTCATTTTTATAATGTCAACTCTTTTTTATTAGATATAAAACTAAAACAGTTCTAAAACCAAACAAATTAAATATGAACCGAGAGGTTGACAAAATGAAATTCACGCGTATGTCGATTAAATCCTTGTCACCTCCGCCAAACACTAACCTTTAACATTTGAAGAACATGTTTAGAAAACTTTCGTTGGTATATGCTGAAGAATATAGCGGAGTAGACTCTTTATGTAACAATAGGGATTGGCTGCGGATAATTGTTTTGCATAAAAATCTTTTCGATGCGTCATTGGAGGAAAACAAGCGTAATCTGCAACACAGCTTTATTAATAAGACCTTGACATTTTTATACTGTGTGTTGTTGCATTCGCGGTATGTATAAAAATAAATAAATGGTTACTTTATAAATATTCAGAGATGAAGGTAACTGCCTTGTTCAATACTTGGTACTAATTATACCTCTAAAAAACTGTTATGAAACGGTTTTTTATTCACTATGGACTTCCTCGAGGAGGTGGTGAGGTTAACTGTTGTTTGTTGCACTCTTCTTTTTTATTAGTTATATTTATATTGTAGGAATTGTTCAAATTCACACGGAAACAAAAATATTAGGACACGTCCTTATTAAATAAGAAATATAGCTTTATATACATATAAAATCCTCTTCTAGATTTATTTCGTATTTAATAAGGACGGGTCCTAATATTTTTGTTTCCTTGTTAATTGGCACGTCCAACTGTTACACCATTTCTTAGATTAATTATCTAAGTCTTTTAAATCATAGGTAGTAGAAAATCTACTACACTTTGTAATTAGATATGCTTCATCTCCCTTACCTCTTGACCTTCTTCTCCTTTAAGTTCCATCTTCTATCGAAGGTTAGAAATCATCATAGCTATGTAGACCCTGTTGACTGCCACTTTAAATTTTGCCTTGCGTAATAAGCTGCAATAATTACCTCTTTACCAATTAACCACATTTGCTATTTCGCTTGTTTTCAATATTTGTGTGATCCTAGATGATGTATTCTTTTATATTAAAACGTTAATATTATTCTAGGATTGGAATTCTTCCAACTGTCTGACAACTTACAAGAAAATCTAGTTGTTTTGGTGTTGCTCCGAATATCTTGTTTGTTGTCGTTGCTGCAAAATATTTATGAACAAAAGAAGCTGCATTTTGTTACTTTCTACATTAAACCGTCGTTGACACTTTACGAGGAGGGTATGCCTTTAGATGGTCAATTGGGACCACAGAGGAGTAACAATGGACAGCGAAAAGCTTAACCATCTCCGTTTCGCAGATGACAGTGTCCGTATCACAGATAATTTAGGAAAAGCCACAGATATGTTAAATGAATTTTACTTTGCATGTTCAAAGGTGGGTCTCATAATGAACTTGACTAAAACTAAGTTTATGACAAATATGGCCCCCAATAGCCATATAACCATTCAAGAAAAAGTGGTAGAACTGGTGGACAAATATAGATATTTGGGCCATGAAATAAGAATCATTAGGGATAACTAAACATGCGAAATCCAAAGACAAATTAGATTAACGTGAGAGCCTTTGGAAAACTGTGAGACACACTTAGGACCAACATAGCAATTAGCATCAAAAGAAAAGTATTTGACCAATGCGTATTACCGGTCATGACCTATGGGAAACTATGAGTCTAACCAAGACTACTACTACTACTACTACTACTACTAAGGATTTCCACAGTTTTCACTGCCTTCCTTCACTCAACCGTTTTCTCCAATTTTCCCTGTCATTCCAGTCTCCATCTCGCAGGGTTCTTTTCTCCATAGCCTCGTCGATTTCGTCTCTGAATGACCTTCGGGGCCTTCCTCTCTTTCTTCTTCCGATCGGGCTCCATTCTGTGATTTTGTTTATCCAGCGTCCTCTGTCCGCTCTTCTGACGTGGCCGTACCAGGATAATCAAGACTACTGTTACATACTATACTATACAGACTTCATATCTAACCAAGACTACGGTTTCGAAATTGAGAGTGGCACAGAGACGAATGGAACGGTCTATGCTGGGAGTGACGTTGAGGGACCGAATAAGAAACGAAGATCTGCGAAGAAGGACGAGTATGGCAAGCATAGCGCAACTGAAATGGAACTGGATAGGCTATGCAGCGAGAATGCATTGAAGGCTAAAAGCAGACAAACGTGGTAGAGGAAGAGGACCTACTTAGTGGGCTGACGACATCAGAAGTATCACCAAAACTTGGCAACAAAGAGCACAAAATCGTAAATAATGGAAGAGTTTAAGGGAGGCCTATGTCCAGCAGTGGACATGATAAATGAGGGCTGGATGATGATGATGATAATGATAATGATGACACATTACATTAAAATAGTTTGATTAAAATATAATATATCTTGTTCTACTTGTAATATGGAATAAGAAGTATGTCACACCAAGTGCCAACAAAAATATTACCCTTTCAAAGTTCATTTGTCAAAATTGAAGCTTAGTATTTAGACCATTATTTTCCAAAATGGCAGAACAGTTAATTTAGTGTGTTTATAACATATTTCATTCTCTCTCTTTCCGAGGGTTTTAACAGATACAAAAACATTGGTAATTTTAAAAGTTTTCCTCAAGTATACGAAGAAGGTTGAGTTTCTATTTAACTTGAGTCTCTTACCTCTCCCTGACACCTGTTTCTGGGTATACTCGTCATCAGAAGGAGTTTGTAAGAAGACTCTTCCTCAAGTAATATTTTTTTTTTCTAGTTAAACACATTAATAAATACAATATAAAATCTTTCTTACCTGCTGGACAGCTAAATAAACTATTTGTCGAATTCTGCAAAAAAAAATAAAGAATTAGATAATTGTATTTTTTAAACATTTAGGTTAAGCCAATATATTTAATTCTTCGGTTAAAGAAATAAATATAAGACTTACAATTAATTTCTGGTACCTTGGACGAGCGGTTTCGAACACTTAACTTTTCTGTTCATCGTCAGGTCCCCGGAAAGGTTACTTAAATGATGCCAATACAAGGAATGTAAAAAGGAAAAGACAGTTATTTCGGTCTAATAGGCCTCATCAGAACGTCAACTCATAGTCGCTCTGAACGTGAAAATAAATCTCTTCTGTCTTAGGAAGCCACTCTAACATGGCTTCGAATGGACGCAAATAGCGACATCTGATATTAAAATCCGTAAACTAATTTTCGAAACCAAATTCAGATTTTTGTTTTAATCTATACCTTCTAAGAATTGCAAGGCAAAACAGACGTTGATAAAGATGTTATTAGAGACATGGTGAATCTAAAATTTGCATTCTACGTCACATCTCCTCAACTAAGCAAAAATTCTTAGCGAATTGGTTTCTTGTACTCGTTCAGAGTAATCGGAATACACTTAGACAAGGAATGTACTTACATAGAACTCTCAATTATGCTAGGCTATTATCTGAGGCTCATCAGCTTTATTGCACATTGAAAATTGTAGAATATTTCTTGAAGAGAGAGTTAAGAAACAAACATACATAGGAGAAAACTATTGATATAATGGTTTGTCAAAGTGTAAGTCATGTTATATTTATCAAAGTTATTTTTATAGGGATTATAGGGATATATTTAAAAATGTGTGTTATTTTTATTTATTTATTGGAACATTTTTTGTTTAATGAAACTAATGTAATGTGGCTAAGTAGAACTACTCCAGGTAGTTACGTTATCCAAGGTGGTGTTACATGAAAAAATTAAGTGAAGCCTACAAATTTTTGTCTTTTGTGGTTGTGTGCTTGGAATATTGACTGCGAAACCTATGGTTTCATTCGCCTAATCATGTTTGACTTTGATTCTTAACAATGATTAAAATAAAATCTATTAATATTTAAAATTTTCATTATTAATATTTTTAAAACAATACCATAACGTTAAAAATTCTACATTATACAATTGGTAAACTTACAAACATCATATTTTTTATTTATTTTTTTTTTAATTCTATACAATTTTGTATACAATTTTCTAGTAGAAGGTATCCAGTTTCGTATCCATGCATCCAGTGCCCAGTGGTTGTTTATCCAGTAGGTATTATCTAATTCCGCAAGCAGTGTTTTTGTATTTTTTTAATTTTTTTATTTATTTTATTTTAATTTTTTCGATTTTTTTTTGTTTTATTTTTTTTTTTTTATATTTTCAATATTTTTTCTGTATTTCTTTTTATTAATATTTTTATATAATATATTTTTTAATATATTTTTTTTTATTTTTTTCTTTTTTCATTTATATACAAGTTTTGGTATACATTGGTCTATATAAATTATTGTTTCATATTCTTATTTTTAAACTGCTTATGTATTGATACAGCAACTTATAAACTTCTAAATTGTTAGAACCTATTAACCCATAAAGGTTGATGGGTTTTACTAAAATTTTTACTTTCATAATGTTTTCCATAAAAACATTGGTCTTTATTCTATTTTTACTACAATTTAATATCATATGTTCTAGTGTGGCATATTCTCCACATTCGCAGTTTGGGGAATTTACAATTTTTAATTTAAATAAGTGAAATGGTGCTAGGGAATGATTGAATCGAATTCTACAGATAATTCTGATTGCATCTTTTTTTGTTATAAAATTACAGAACCATGGTTTGGTAGGAATTTTCGGCTGAATGGCTTTAAAAAAAAGTCCCTTGGTGGAATGATCATATTTATTCATCCATTCCTGCCTAATTATATTTTTTGAAATAATATAAACGTCTTCCGGAACTAATGAATAATTTACAACAGTATTGGAATCTAATGCTTCGTTGGCCAGAATGTCTACTTTTTCATTGTGGAGTCTTTTGTGGTTAATAACTGAAATTGTTTTGAGGTTATTAGATAAAAGGAACAGGATAAAACAAAGAAACAATTCACAAACATCAATATACTAAAGAAATTAAAATAGATTGGAAAATGCACTACATTGGTAATCTTTTTGAAGAACTGGGAACTGGGAAACTGGGAGAAAAGATTTCAGTGGAAAAATAAAAAATTTTATGTCCCATAATTTAAAATTATGGAAATGGGGACTCCGATGTGCAATCGAGTCATGCAGTAGGAGAGATATTTTAAAAAATAATCGCAGGAATATTTTAAACGTCTCTCAAAAATAAATAAAATTATTAAACATCTCTTATCTTTCAACACTCTTCTACAAATACACTTTCAATATTTTCACTAATATATTCTAACTCTCACGATCACAAGTTAAGACTTTAAATAGCTTAAAATTTAGATAATTACGGATTGATACGAAAACGGATCAATATTTCGTCACTTCAAGGGAAATTTATAGTACATTTTTGTACATTCTCTCCTAAGAAAGGCGTGTGCATTGAGTTCAGAGGAAAATCGATTGTACATACTGTGGAGTATTAATTATATTAAATGATTGTAATAAAATAAGTCAAATTATATCATGGCCTAGGTATTCCTGTTCGCGCTCTCTACCGATTCTGTGCAGAACTTCTTCATTGATAACTTTGTCTATCATCAACATGCGTCTATAGCACCACATTTCAAATGCTAAACTAAGAGTCTCTACAGCGACGCTTTTGTTAAGGTCCATGACTACACTCCATAAAAAAGATCGATCGAAAAACACTTTAATTGCTAATTTTATTTCGTGACAGTTAACGACTTCTTTTCATTTTAATGAAAACCGATCTTGCCTTTTCGATCCTTATCTTACTTTCCGTTATTTCCACTATTCATTTAAATTCGCACCTAAATAGCAGAAATTGTTGTTCCGTGTTATCGTATTTGTGCTTTTAACTGTCTGCAAACCTGACAATGTCATCAGCGTATCTTAAGTTGTTCAGCCGTTCTTTATTTATAAGTATTCCATGTTAGCGCTATGTTCATAATGTGCCCTGAATATATATGTAATAATAATGGGGGTAGTATATATCCCAGCCGCACACCTTTTTTATATTTATATCGTCTGTTAAATGAGATCTCCAATCCTAACAGCTGCAGTTTGTTCATAATAGATTCCACCATTATAAGGTGGTCTCTGTTGACTAGACCAAATAATTTTAATATTTTCATCAGTTCGATATGTTTTATTTTTATTTACCTATATCACACTTAACATCTTTACATACCAGCGAGAACTTGATGTCTCTAGTGCAACGCTAGTGCCTAATGCATCTCTGAACCCGAATTGTGTTTTTAGTTTTTTTTTTATTTTATGTATGAATTTTAAAAACATTTTCATGAGACGCCTCATAAGGCTTATGATTCAGTAGCCTTCACATTATTTTGCATTAGGTTTTTAGGTATTGGTATAAAAGTAGATCTAAGCCACTGTTGCTGTATTTTTCCACTTTGGTATATTTTGTTAAAGATCAAAGTAAATGTCTCTCTAGGTTCTCTAATAGTTTCTTTTATATCTCCGCCTAGATGCTGATATTTCGCGTGGCCTTTTTCTTTAGATTATATTCTCCTGTCCATTATCTGTAATATACCTACTGAAGGTCATCCATAGTTTTTTCTTTTGGTCCAGTTACTTGTTTAATATTTTTCACCCAACGTATTTAAGTGGTTTATTTCTATTTCAACATCATCCACAGCTTCTGACGAAAATTACCGACAAGTGGGACTTAATATCTGCACCAGGGTAGGTTTTTACCGATGATATTGAATTTTGAAACTTTTGATTTCTTATGAGGTTTTATTGCATGTTAATGAGTAATCACCATGTGTACAACCTTCTATGTGGTTATTTGAAGAAGATATTGGTGACTATATAACCCTTCTTCTGTAGCAAATGTGATCAGGTATTCTTCTACCTCATTTCGCCCTCCTTAACTCCATGAATCTACATCAGCATAACGCATAAAGATTTTCTTTAATTCGTAATAAAGAGCCTCTATTACTTTGTCCAACTTGTCTGTCGAGGGTGCACATATTTGGATTATATTTGTTTTTGCTGGAAAGAAATCCAATTGTATAGAAACGATTCTCTTGGATATTGGAATAAAATTTGTAACGTATTTAATTTTCGTTATTTTTTGTAGTCGTCTGATTAAAAAGATCTCCTTTATCACTGAAGCTGTGTTGATGAAGCTGTGAACTCTACTGTGTTTGCTGCCCATTGTTGTTTCCTACATCAGTTCTAGAACATTTTTTAACGTGTAGAATCTTGTAGAAGTCTTTTGTTTAGTGTGTCCTAAATATACCAGAGTCTTTTATTGATTGCTCATATAGTTTTTGTCTCGTACTGTTTAATATCCGGTTAACATTTCTGTTATTATTCTCAGTTTATTCCTGCCCATATAGAGCAGTTCATTTGTTCTTTACATATTTGGCCCACCAATGAAAATTTTCCCATGTGTTTGTTTTGGGATTCTCTTCCAATATCACTTATGACTCTTGGATTCAGTACTCTGCAGCTCTACGTACTGCAGCCTTTATAGCTTCGAGGCTTGATGCTAGTTTATTTGACATTTTCCGGCATTAGACCATCACATTTCACTGATTTTGTCTACTATATCGATCGTTTATTACATCGCCTATTATATCCATATTAAAGTCTCAAGACTCATGTGGTGTCTCCGCGAAGATTTCCTTAAAGTAAATATTAAATATTAATTGTGGAAAATTATACTCTGGCACTCCACGTTTAGTCTCTATAGGTTCTAATAATTCTCCATCTACATGACCACTGATTGATTCCAATACAGATTTAAAATGATTCGAATCTGGATCCAACACACCCCTATTTAAAAATGTTCTATTAATTTTTTATGTCTAACGAAGTCGACCGCCTTTTTATAATCTATAAATCATTCAAAAGTCGTATAGCGAGAAAAAAATTTGTATTCTAAAGCGTACTTAATACTCAAGAAGAATATATTTAATAATTTCTGTAATGTACATACCTGTGCTAATGTATCCCTATATAAAAATACTATGGCGACCAGGAAGGCCGCCTGTATACGTATCAGCATCCCCTGTAACAAAAAAGAGTCGTTAACAAAACGTAGTAATTTCCTAATTAAGCAATTGTTTTACAAAATAAAGCATGACTAATCTTGTTTTATCTCGTTTACAAACGGTTACCATTAAAAAATTGCTTAAGAGTTATATAACAACATAAATAAAACAAAGAAACCTGCGCAAATTTCTCCTGGCTACAAAATATTCCCTCTCCTTTCAGAGAAACAAACTGTCAATAATCTTTCAGTGAGCGGCCGATTCTACCGCACTTAACAGTATATAAGATCCGGCAGTTCTAATACACTGGGGAAAAGTGTAACATTTTATTTGTTCTCTACCTACTGGATATAATAAATCTATAAATAAATAATTAATAAAAATTTGATGGAATTAAAGGACTGTCGAATCACGTCAAAAGCATAAAAAACATACATAGTAATTTATCTCCCAGCGCATAAAGCTTTTTTTCGCAAATGCAGAAGTTTCCAGCATGAGCATAGTAATAGTAGCATAATTAATAAACATCTAAATCTATGATTGTAATATTTTAATCAAAAAACATCAGAAAATAATAGCTTATAGCGGACTTACATAGATTGAACAGCGATTTAATTGAAAACTGTAGAAAATTATGCAGGAAAATCATTATCATTATTTTTGACTTTACCCATATACAGGATCAGCTTCCCTAATTACATTTCTCCGTACATTTTTTTATACATATGTCAACCCCCATTAACCATAGGTCCTGCTTAATCATCCTTAGTTTTTGTCCTAACAGTATTTTCCACTAACACTATATCATGAGCATACAATAAGCATCAAGGAATGTCATCCCGTAGCTTCCTTGCAACAACTTATCTGCTCCAACATTAATGAGAATAATAAGGACTAAGCTCTGACGCAATCTTACTTTCACAAGAAATATATCAGTATCTTCTTCACATGTCCTAACATTAGTTGTTACTCCCTCATACGTGTCTCTCACAATCTTCACATACTCAAGAGGAACTCCTTTCTTATTGAGCATTTATCACAAAAAGTCTCGAGGAAGTTTATTATTTAACTTTATCATTCAAGAAGAATAGAGTTGAGTAGAACATTTTACCATTCAATATCAGATTTGCAGATTGAGTGTTTGGTTACTAAGAAAATTTCCTCATCGTCAAAAAGGCTACAATTGATTGCTCTAGAAGAGTACTGAAGAACTATTTTTAACTATAAAAACGATAAAAGAGTTACGAAAATACAATTAAGTCACGAATAATGATGAATGCTACTACCACTAGCATCGGATGGACCGTGCTAAGCTTCGAAGAATTCACATGAGCAATAGAGGACATGGAAAATTTTGTCGAAATAAACGCCAACCTCCATTAATGAAGACCCCTCTAAGAAGAATACATATCTATTCTTGTTGACTCCATCAGTAATTGTTTATTAATTATCCCTGTCATCGAATGTCTTTATTACGTCGTCCCTATATCCACATTCCTAATGGTTTAAGTTGGTTCATTGTTGACACTTTTAGAGCATGTACTCATATAACAGCAGAGACAAACCACTTGATCATTCTTTATTTTAGTTCTACATTGAGATTGTTGATTGCAAAGAAACCTCATGTTTAAAAAAGTGGGTTTATTTTTATTTCTGGATCTAGTAATAGTATCAGCTCACATCTTTATTGGACTATAGATCGTTCAATCTACACATGATAACTGTTATGGAATACTATGCGTTTATTTCTTCTCCGGACTAACTCTTTGTTTTGGAATTAAACAGAATATATTGACATGTATAAATTTATTATATTAGAGGATGAAAATTACACTGCCTGTTATTTCTTAAAACTATGAATTTATAAGTTCTGTTATCTACAATTATTTAACGATGTTTCTGGATGGATTTGAGTACAAGAGATTGGACTCAAATATTAATATTAAAATAGCAAATACGGATAGCTTATCGAACAAAGAAATAAGAGAAATAAATTATTATTATTCCATAGATACGAAGTATTAGGCGAATAAACTAGCGAAACTTATTTATTCTAAATAGGAAAATATTTATGAAGAGTATTGATTCTGATTTCTAACAGCAAATAATTATTAGTGATTATACATGAGAACTTTTCATAATTGTAAATAACATATACCAGGTGACTAAAAACTATATAGAAATACATAGATACTTTAATTATCTTACATGTGAGTAGGTAGGTACATTACACCTCCTTTTGTAAGAATGAAAATAATTGTAAAATGAATTTTCATTTAAATGGTATAAAACATTTGTATACATTATTATTTTATTTTAACACATTTAAATAGTTTCTTTTAGTCTCGATAGTCTTTCACTTCGTCTTATCGGTGTAGTCTCTGTGAAACTAGTCTCTTCACACTTTTTGGATTCACTATAATTATTGTCTTTATTATGTTTACAATCTATACTTAAATCTGTCTCATGTACATGTTTTCGTTTACTTTGACATATATTTAGTGTTAAACAATTTGTAATTTGTTGACAACTATGTGACGGATTTCTACGAAATCGTCGGTAAAAATATTTAATTATCCTGTATAAAATATAAAGTAACATACATTTTATCAAAAATAAGATTGCATAAGTGAAATAAGAACTATTTTTTATTGTGTCTGAAAAATTAATATTTGTTTCTGAGGTCATTTTCTCTAAATTATCTAGTTTATGGCTTGCTAAATTTAATGCATCTCGATCGAGATTATTTAATTGTAAGGGAACAAGGTGTAATTTGGATTCATTATTTATCTTAATATCATCACAACAGACTTCTGGAAGGGATAAATCTGGAATGATAGACTGAAAATTACTTTCTTTTGGATTTGAGACAGATATCAAAATAGTTGATCCGGTGTAAGTTTTGCAATTATTCGAAGTAGAAAAAATACCTGTGTTTGAAAGAACAATAGATATTGGCGTACTAGTCTGACAGCTTAAAGTTAAATCTGTTGGTTTGGGTAAAACATATATCCAAGAATTTGGTTTGTTTAATTTATGCCAAATTTCATATTCTGTTTGAATTATACGAGTATCGCAACTAGATGGTATGTTTGTTATTGAAGTTAACAATTCAGTTTCACAAATTGGATTAGTGTGTGTAAATCGGAAAGTATCAGGATTTTTGCAAATAAGTTTTTCTTCATCTAATGAATAACAGTCTTCTAATGTATCAATAGTAACATAAATGTTTCTATTTTCTGAAAGAACAAGATATTTGACAGATGGAAGAATAAAGGTAAGTCTCTTTAATGTTGGATGAATTATAGGAAGAGATATTAGTTTAAAAAGAGAATAAGGAGTATTACTAACCAAAGGTATACTAACCGTAATTAAAATCTTGTTATCAAAATATATATATTTAAGTAAAATGATATCGAAATATTTATGAGCATAATCGATAGTCAATGGAAATGGATAAGTCGATGTACTAGGTAAATGCGTTACCGTTTTAGATAATTCTTGAATTAGTTGCTCAGGTGTTATAACAGAAGGATGAAGGTTATTATTTCTTGCAAATAGAATAACGTTTATTAAAGTAGAATATTCTTGTTGTAATTCTGTTATAAAGAAAGTTAGTAAAGTAAAATGTTCTTCAATTTTTTGTTTTAAATCTAAATTAAAATATTTATTATTCATTTTATCTGTGTAATTGGTAATTGATTCAAAATTTTTATCAAAAATCACTTTGTTTCGGTCTAGATTTGTAATAGAGTTATTAAAATTTGCAATCGTGGCTTTTACTACATGAATTTGTTGTTTTAGTAAATCAAGAAGATGATTTTCGTTACTTTCAGCTTTGTTAATAGCATTATTGAAATTTTCAGCATCATCACTGTCTAAGGTACCGAATAAGGTCCTGAAAACAGATCCAATTGCATTAAATAGAGCGCGTTTTGGTCTAAAATGTTCATGCAGAATTATGTTTTTTAAAGTTTGTTCATCTTGAAAGAGTCTAGGTATGATTTGTCCTAAGAGTTTTAGTGAAGTATCACATAATCGTAATTCAATAAGAACTGGTTTGTTTTGACACAGTCTTAATGTTTTTTGATAGGTGAGATCTACAAAATTTAATTTGTCTGTAAAAGGTTGTAAAGGAATATGACTTAATATGTTCCAATGAGTTTCAATAAATTGAACATTTTTTATGTGTTCGTAATAGATTCCAGGTGATTTGTTGATAGGAGTATTGGTATATTTCTTGTGAATTTGTTCACTATTTGTCAGCCATATTATTGCATACCTGAAACAAAAGCATGTTTCAATCTATTCATGTGAACTTTTATTGGTTTTTTATTTACTAAAATTGTGCAATTGACAGGAGAATTTATCTCTAGAATTTTATAAGGTCCATTATAATTTTGTGTAAGTTTTTTGGTTTGACCCTTCTTTGTTTGCTCATTTTGGAGATATACTAATTGTCCTTCTAAGAAAACGGTGTCATTAATCTTTTGGTCATAATATTTTTTACTGACTACTTTAGATTCTAATAGATTCGTTTTTGCTAACTCATGAGATTTTCTAAGTTTAAGTGTTAAATTATCTAAATAATCTTCATATGTATATTTGAGTTCTACTGGTCGTATTATACTGCTAGGTAGATTAGGTGTATATCCAAATATTAGTTCATATGGTGTGAATTTGGTTGAAGTATGATTAGTTGTATTATATGAAAACATAGCAAAATCTAGCCATTCGTCCCAATCGGATTGATCAGCTTTAATATAATGTTTAAGGTAGTCTGCTAAAGTAGCGTGACTCCTTTCTAATGCAGCATTTGATTCTGGATGATAAGCAGTACAATTTATATGTCTGATTTTAAAAAGCTTGGCGATTTGAGAAAATAATTTGGAAGTAAAATCTCGGCCTTGATCAGTAACTATTATATCGGGTTTTCCAAACTTGCAAATAAATCCACGAACCAGATTTTCAGCGATAGTCTTGGTTTCATGATTCGGAATTGCGTAAGCTTGAGAAA